ACAGATGTTTATATGGAAAATAATGCAATAATTAATAAATAATAATGCAAGAATAAACTCAGTTTTGCATATTCACAATTGTAAACTTACTTTTGAACCACCCTTGGTTATCATTATCAAGTATACTTACTTTACACAATTGTATGTGCTATATTTTTAGTGACTAGCAGCACAGTATGTTTGTTTACACCAGTATCACATACTAGTTAGTGAAAACCTACACACAAAAGGACATATACAGTAGACTCTTGAACAACATGGTTTTAAACTGGGTAGGTCCACTTGTACAATATATTTTTAATAAATACTGTGGATGTATTTTCTTATGATTTTCTTAATAACATTTATTCTCTCGCTTACTTTATTATAATACAGTATATAATACATATAACATACAAAATGTGTTAATCACCTGTGCTATCAGTATGATTTCTGGTCAACAATAGGCTAAGTTAAGGATTTACAGAGTCAAAAGTTATATGTGGATTTTCAACCGTGAAGAGGGTTGGTTCCCCTAAGCTCTGTGTTGTTTAAGAGTCAAATGCATTTCAAGGCTATTCACTATATAAACATCCTTATATAGTCCAGAAAATGACTGAATTGTATACTTCAAAAATGGTTAAGTGGCCCTGACCAGTTTGGCTCAGTGGATAGAGCATCAGCCTTTGGACTCAAGGGTCCCAGGTTCGATTCCGGTCAAGGGCATGTACCTTGGTTGCGTGCAGGAGGCAACTGATCGATGTTTCTCTCTCATCAATGTTTCTAACTCTCTGTCCCTCTCCCTTCCTCTCTGTAAAAAATCAATAAAATATATTTAGAAAAAAAATGGTTAAGTGTCTATTATATAAATGTTAACTCAGTTAAAAAGGCCTTATCTATCTCTATATATCTATATCTATATCTATAAGCCTAAGCAACCATTATGAGCGGCTGAATGACTAGTTGACCGCCACTATGATGACACACTGACCATCAGGGGGCAGATGCTCAATGCAGGAGCTGCCCCCTGGTGGTCAGAGCACTCCCACAACCAACCTCCCACAGCCGGCCAACCTCCTGTGGTCCCTCCCCTGGGCCGGCCAGCCCTGATTGGCCCCCGATCACCAGCCAGGCCAAGGGACCCCACCCATGCACAAATTTGTGCACTGGGCTTCTAGTGTAAAAATAATAGAGCTTGTTTTCTTAAATATATTTCAGGTACTAATTTTTAGCTTTTTCCTAAATTGTTCCATAAAAGATAGTTACTAAATAACTTACTCATTTCTTAAACCCCTGCTACTAATTGTTTTCTTTCTTTTGTCCTAAAGGAAGTCTTTCTTCTGATGCTCTAACATTAAAAGTAACTTCTACCCTTACTTATAGAGATATGAGTTTGCATTGAATTTTTGTGTTGATATAAATAAAAAGATTTCTAGTGACTTCACAATTGTTAAACCCAACAGCAAAGAATTTAAAATTTTAGATAAAATTGATGTTTATATTGCAGTTTCTTGAGTTCCTCAGCTTTGATGAGGTTCTTAAGTTCTCAATTTTTATGTTTTAAACTAGAGGCCCTGTAAACGAAATTCTTGCACAGAGGGGGCTCTTTCAGCCCAGCCTGCATCCTCTTTCAATCCAGGATCCCTCTGGGGATGTCGGGCCTAAACCAGCAGTCGGACATCCCTCTCACAATCTGGGATGCTGCATGCACCAGTGACCTTACTTTTCATACAGGTGAAAGGCATCTTGCTGTTGTATGGGCAGCTACATTTTTTTGCCCTGATTATGAAAAGTAGTACATAACATGATCCTTCTGAGGCAGTAGTACCATTTTCCTCATCTTATGGGTGGGAAAACTGAAGCAGAGATAAATTAAGTAATTGGTTTTGTCACACAGTTATAAGTGTCAGAATCAGGGCTGACCACAAAATGTGCAAGCCAGAGTCCATGCATGTCATCGCTGAATCATCCTGTTTTTTCAGTGTTAGAGTAGCCTTCCAGGTTTTAATTGTTAAATCTTAGAGACTGTTCCCAATATAAAGGTTAGGGTCCGTAGGCTTGGCTGGCAATCAGGCCCATCGGTGGGGTGACCAGTGGGTGGGGCAATTGGGGGCCCCCTCTGGCACCTGCCTTGGCTGGCAGCCTGGCACTGCCCTGCTGGCTGGCCCTGTCCCTGCACTGCAGCTCCCCTGGTGGTCAGTGCGCATCATAGCGACCGGTTGTTCTGCTGTTTGGTTGATTTGCATATTAGGGTTTTATTATATAGGATTATTCTAACAAGAATTTAATTTCTGGGGGTAATCAACACCCAGAACTCTTATTGACTCTTTATCCAACTACATTTTATTTAAATAATTAGCTATATGAAAAGAACTTTGCTAGTCCAAGGTTATATTCCTAGACACTTTAATGTCAGTAAATAAATACAAACTTTTTTTCACAAGAATGGAGTGTGTTTTATAGGAAAAAGTAAGTCAACAGTCAAGTTTTTATTAAAAAATTAAGTCTTTCCCTGGCTGGTGTTGCTCAGTTGGTTGGGCATCATCCCATGCACCAAAAGGTTGCCAGTTTGATTCCCAATCAAGGTACATGCTCAAGTTGCCGGCTCAATCCCCGGTAGGGGGCGTGCAGGAGGCAGTTGATTGGTGCTATGCTCTCTCATCAATGTTTCTCTCTCCCTTCCTAAAAAAATCAATAAAATATGTATTTTTAAATTAAATCTTTGCAGGTTAAGGTAAAAATACTTTAAATAAGAAAACTCCCTTGTGTTTCAACCAATCAGAAGCTAGTTTATCTAGACATACTAACATTTCCCCCCTTTCCTTTCAAAAAAGTTTAATGATAAGATCTATCCTGAAAGAAATAAATTCAGTATTAATTCATGTCTAAATCACTGGGGTTAAAACTCCAGCCATCCAGATCAGTTAGAGATTCAGAAGCAGTGGAGGCCGTGGCTAGGGGGTGGCCTACAGAGGAGCAGCTCCAGGAATTCCAGGGCTTAGGAACAGAGGGAGCCAGGGGCTTGGCGTCTCAGGTGATTCTTGGGCCCTACACGGGTCTCTTCTGTATAAAGTCCTCTGTGGCCCAGTGACCTCTATATATGGCTGTAGAATAAGCCTGCACAGTTCCTGATGAGTCTAAAGCAGTGATGGCGAACCTATGACACGCGTGTCAGAGGTGACACGCGAACTCATTTTTTTTTATTTTTCTTTGTTAAATGGCATTTAAATATATAAAATAAATATCAAAAAAATAAGTCTTTGTTTTACTATGGTTGCAAATATCAAAAAATTTCTATATGTCACATGGCACCAGAGTTAAGTTAGGGTTTTTCAAAATGCTGACACGCCGAGCTCAAAAGGTTTGCCATCACTGGTCTAAAGTCTTAATCTATGCATTCAGAGAAATATTTTTATATGCTTTGTGTAGTTTATAACAAAGGGTGTTTTTTTTTTCAGCTCTGTTAACTGTGAATTCACCCCTCATCCTCCACTGCATATTTAAAGCATGTGTTCATGCTGTGGGCAAACATCCTCTGAAGATAATTTTCTTTGTGCATTGCTGACTATTCAAATATAACAAGTATTATTAAAATTAAATATTAACTGAAAAATTTTGGAAGTAATACTTTATTTAAATAAACCAACATATCTTGTTGCTATGTGGTTCATTTTCATATAGCTAAGAAAAAAGTTCTCACAGAGATTTCTGGAATGTGAGATAGTGTCCCCCAAAAATGTATACACACTTAAAGCTGATAGCTCAAATTCTGTTTCTTTCTCTTCAGATTTAACCCATTGGAATTAATGATCATTCAAAGTGTGCATACATTTTTTGGGATACCCTGTATGAAAGGATTCTACTATAATACTAATTATCACAGCCTCTGCTCATCAATGAAAAAACAAGTAAATCTTTAGTCATAGCAAAAAGAAAGACCAATGGCTTTGTTGCTCACCATGTTTTCTAGCTGTTAATACATTGAGAACACTAAAAATATAGACTCACCTTCTAATGAACCAGTACTTTAAATTTAGCTACATCAGTGGTTCTTAACCAGGCTGACTTTGCCCCTCAAGGAATGTTTGGCAATGTTGACAGATATTTTTGGTTGTGACATCTTCAGAGTGCTACTGGCACTAGTGTGTGGACTCCAGTGATGCTGCTAAATCTATAACACACAGGTGAGTCTCTCACAGTAAGGACTTATCAGACCCAAATGTCAAGTTTGAGAGACCCTGAGCTACATTACTGGTCTCATCTATTTCCAGCCTAAAATCTACATCACAATCTCAAAATTCTTCACTGAAGCTGTTTTGTTTTAATGTACAAGATGTAAATTTGATTTGTAAGACCTTGGGTAAGCAATACAATCTCAGGAAGAAGAGGTTAAAAATATTCAATAGAAAACTGACAGAGTGAAATATAAAAGAAAATAAAATATAAATCAAACCACAGCTATGTATGACCAAATTTAAAGATCTCGTTAAACTTCTCATTTGCAATGTAAATAGTACAGGACATGACTGAAAATTAATGGATATTGCATAGGTTCATTCTATATTCATGGAATATAAATACCTTTCCTGTAAGACAAAATTTAAAGGAACAGCTATAACTAATTCTGTGTTCTTATTTGAACTTTCACACTGTGCATGCCTTTGCTGACATATTAAGTTTACTTTGGAAGGAGGTAGGCATTAAATTAAACTGTTTTTTTCTTCCTGATACTTCATCAAGAAATAATAATAAAAACGGAAGTAAAAAAGAAGTTGCATCCCAATGGAATTCTATTTTTTAAATTTCTTAGCACTAAAAAGCACTTTTAGGATACTTAGAATATCCTTAATTCCAAATCAGACTGTCCCTTAATCTGTTAATTTCTTAGAATTAAAAAAAAGGGGGGAGGAAGAAGGGGTAATAAAATGATTTTTATATTAAAGTCTCAATTAATACAGATCCCTGAAAGTCAGTTTAAAATAGAAATCAAGTTTCACAAAATAAATACACTGAAGCAACTATAATAGTAATACTTTTATTTAAAATACTTGTTAATCTAGGAAAGCTTCTTTACATGAGTTTCCAACTAATTATTAGAGTCAGAAACAAAGAAAATAAAACCAGAGAAAATCCTCTGTAGAAAAAATACACAGGAACATTTATTTCTACATGTGAAAACAGTAAACAGACTTAACATCTGCATGTCCAAGTCTCAGTCTCAATTCCATCTCGCCTAGTGAATACCACTATCAACCTTGACATCTGATTTGTTCTTGTCATTCTTCACTGAATAGATGAAATATGTTAAGGTGTCTTTTTCATTCACTGGAATAGACCTAAAGTGGCAACCAACTATCTATGAAGAAAAAAAAATTGAGGAAATTAAATTATAGGTATTAACAGATTTCATAAACTAGGTAAAAAACACTTTCATCAAAAGAAAAAGTACTATGTGATAAGAGCTATTTCTATTTAAAAATAAACTGTATTCAACAAAATACCAACAGGACAAAGAGCATATAAGAATAAGATGTTGTGAACAAGAGACAGTGTGATTTCAAAGGACCCTTCAGCCTACTCAATTAAATTAAATAGAATATATATTTACTTTTATTTATTTTAAATTTTATAACTGGAATCTAGGTTAGAAAGCAGTATTTTTACTTTTTAAACTTTAAATGTCAATGAAATAAAATAGAATGTAAGAGTCCACATGTATCATGTAATGGTTTAGGCCCTATTCATAGAAAAATAATAAATATGAAGTTGAAAGTTTGGTACTATAGAAACGAACCATGAAATATGATATAAATATGTTTGCTACAAATTATGTTCATTCATTCATTGGCAATATTCTTTGTTAAGGCGTCTTGAAAAATTTTCTGAATAAAAATTACAAATGGAAAATGATAGGGAAAAAAGGGATGTTCACTGAAGAATGTTTTCCTGATTTCTTGCTTTTTCACTAATCTAACATGTGCACTGCAACTACCAATAGAAAGAAGTACAGTTAACTAAACTGGGATGCTCAAGAGCATATCTAGATTCTGGAAGATAAAACTTCTTAAAGAAAGGTTATCAAATGATAAGTAAGAGACTTAAGGAGGATCGTTATTCAATTCTGGAATCACTTATAAACCTATATTTCTGACTAAATAAACTATAACACTAATAGGCTATTTGTTTATTTGTTTATTTATTGAGTTTAGAGAGAGGAAGAGAGAAAGAGAAAGGGAGAGGGAGATTTGTTGTTCCACTCATTTATACATTCATTGGCTGATTCTTTTATATGCCCTGGCTGGGGATCAAACCCACAACCTTGGTGTACCAGGACAATGATCTAACTAACTGGGCTACCCGGCAAGGGCTACACTCATGGCTATCTGGATTATGGGTATTTCTCATTTAAAAAAAAAAAAGCTCTAGGGAAAAAAGTAATTTTCTAGATTAGATTATCAAAAACTTCAGGTTTGGTTTAGACATTTAAAATAATTATTTCTTTGGTTCTGATCTGTCCTAAAACAAAGTACTTCCACTTGATTAGTATATGTAATTTTGATATCGTTTCATCATGGTAGATAATATCTATATTTATGTTATACTAATGTGCTATATAATCCAAACAGACTAGATATTTTAAATCAAATTTAAAGACAACTTGTTTTTTGTTGCCTAGCCAAGAAGAAAGAAAAAATTCTGGCTAAGAAATTAATATATTGGATCTTAACAATGTTAAAAAGCATTTCATTCTGCCAAACAGCTGTAACTGCTATTCATCCTATATCTTCTTCGATATGCACATTTTAGAAAATGTTGGATTATTAAATTCAAAATAAAGAATATGAGAAAAATGATTTATATATTTACATTTTTATTCTGCCTAGATTAACATTTTTAGTTTAAATATAATTAAAGTATAAATATGTAAATCAATAAACATCTTAATATAATACTTAGACTACCAATAGAAGTACAGACTTCTTGGTTCTATTTTTCCTGAGAACACACACACATAAACACACACACATGCACTCAACTTTTCAAAATTCACTAAAGGACTAGAACCCCCTACATCAAAACAAACTATTTAAGTAAAAGCTTGGACACAGTCTTTGCATCTTCTAGATGTGAAGAAAGCATGGGTGCCTAGCCCCATTCACTAAAAGGATGCTGATTCAGTAACCGATAAGTTACAGGTTCAATTCCTGGTCTGAGTGTGTACAGAAGGCAACCAATCTGTTTCTTCCTCTCTCCCCCTGCCCCTTCCTCTCTCTAAAGACCAATAAAAAGATTTCTTTTTTTTAAAAAAAGAAAAGCTCGGCTGGCATGGCTCAGTGGTTGAGTGTTGACATATGAACCAGGAGATCATGGTTCGATTTCCAGTCAGGGCACACGCCCAGGTTGTGGGCTTGATCCCTAGTAGGAGGCGTGATTCTCTCTCATCATTGATGCTTCTATCTCTCTCTCCCTCTCCCTTCCTCTCTGAAATAAAAATATATCAATAAAAATATATTTAAAGAAAAGAAAACATGGATGTCTAAAATAAAACAAACTAACATTAACAAGGACAAATTCTGAAATAGTTAAATCAGAAAGTTATGGAAATACTGTTTAGGAGCTTATCTGTAGAACTATTTCATCAGAAACTTAAAAAAATTCTGATAAAGACATCAAAGTTTATTAATTTATTTTATTATTCCTCAATTAGATGTTCAATAAATATTTGCTGAGTAAATGAAATTTTAAAATAAATTTCTAGAATAAGAATAAAAAAATATCACTTAATATTTCAGAAACCTATTATTAGAAGATACTTAGAAAATTATATACAATTCATTGAGTAGTCATTACGTAAAGAAATTTGCTAAGAGGCAGACAAAATTTCTAGGTAACTAGATTCTTCCACAATAGATTTTTAAAAAGTTAACTTTGATCTTTCTAACTAAAATATTGTAGTTTTATATACCTGTTAACAATTTCATTGGCATTTAATAACTCTTTTTTGTATGAACAGAGTTCTTTAAAGTTTTAAATAGTTTAAAATTCATAAATACCTCAACAAGTTGTGCTTTATTAAGTCCTGGTCTGGTTGGTAGTTTGAAGTGTCTTTTGTATCTCCTAAGTGTATTTACTTGTAATTGGTATAAATCAACCTAGAAAAAATTAACATATATGAATTAGTTCAAGCAATTTATTAAAAACTTATCTTTGGTATGTGTAATAACATTTCAATTACAGCACAATAAAATTTTTATTCTATTATTTTATAGAATCAAAACTATAAATGTAATAAACATTTTGAGGATAAATATTAAAAACTGTTTAGGGGGAAAAGTAAGACAATAGAACTATAAGAATTGACAATTAAAAATATAACAAGTCAAATTGTGTAACTGTGTGTTAACTGGCTATATTTAATTTTGCTTTCATTTCCAGATTTTTCAAATGTTTTAAGCATTTTTCAAATGTGTTCATATCTTTTTATAAAAGTTTTAGAATGGACTACTTAGGATTTACATTTAACATGTAAAAACTTTTCTCTACCTCTGGAGTATCAATATCTTGAACTGGTGAATCTCCTCCATCATCATCACTCCCTTTTCTCTTTCTTCTGTTTCGAACACTTTGAATTAAATTTTTATGATAATCACAAATGTAAAGATGCCTTACCTGTAACAGAAAAGTTTCACATACTACTTAGAATTACAGTAAAATACATCTATGTATTAGTAAAATACATAGACCACAGTGAATCATCTAAAAAACAACAGTCAAAACAGGGCATTGCTAAGGGAATTTTCTTTCTAAAGTCCTGCACACAGTTAAAACATGCATGGCTGGCAACACTGTTAAGAAGCTTGGGAAGGGGGGTGGGGAGGGATGACCGTGAGGGAGGAAAAAAGAAGGAGAAATTCAGCCTGAGTCTGCTCTAGACTTTGTCAGTGAGGGTCAACTACATGAGTTAAATCATGATGTTTTGCTAACAAGGAGAATAATGATGGAGCCCACGATTTGCTATTTGATAGTATTTTCCCTATTTAAAGAGCATATGTTAGTAGCATAACATATGCTTTCTAATCTTTCTAATTTAATACTTCAAATATAAAACTATTTCTTTTTACAAATGAGCTATTTATTTTCACATTCTAACTATATTTAGATTTGAAATGATAAAGTTTCCTGATTATTAAATGTATTTACCTGTAATACGTTTTCCCAACCAAAGCAGTGGGAAATTATTCAAGTGTACCTAAAAAGTTTCTCATGAACATGACTGAAGAACTGTTTAAACAAGCAGAAGGTATACAAACCTTCCAAGATGTTAATTACATATAGTTTTGAGAGCTGTATACTAACATGTGAAATACTGGGCTTCATACAATAACAGCTACTTCTTTAAAAAAAAAAAAAAAACCCACACAACCCCACAAACAAACAATGAAGGACTGAGCTAACAGGTTTTTACATGAACTTTAATGCTAAGTGCAAGTTAAAAATGAGCAGGAAGCATGCGAGATTCTGACTTCATGTTCTTAATTTACTGCCTGCCAGAGCTCCGGAAAGTGGCAATGGTTGTGTCTAAAAGTCTCATAGACATAGATGGTCAAAATAACAGACGCGCAGAAAGGACGTTAAAGGAAATCCTGATGGCAGCGCAAAGCCACAGAGACTACGTGCTCACCACGCTGGGAGCCGCTGCCCCAGAGGCTGACACCGCCGCCACCGTCCCCAAGCCCGGTCCCCTGCAAAGAGCAGGGGGTGCTCGGCCACCCTCTCGCCCGGTACTCAGGGGGACAGGAAGCGGGATCTTGCCCGACTGCGGCGTCAGGTCCTTGCAGGATTCCACTTTCCCGAGACCCGGGAACCTACTCCCTGGGGCCAAACGCCAGCTCGGGGCAGCAAAACAAAGGCGCCTCCATTCCAAAAGGAGCAGCGGGGCTGCAAGAAAACTACCCCAGGCCCTCCCTCCGAGCGCTGCTTCCCTTTGTTTCGCTTCCAGTTCTCAGCGAAGGGGGAAGGGAGAAGGCAGGGAGCGGGAAGGACGCGGGGGGCGGGGTGTGGGAGGCTGCGGGGGCGCGGGAGCACAGCGTGCAAGTGTGTGTCTTGCGGGAGTGGCGGTCGGAGTTGCTGCGACTTTGTTGTTTGCTTCCTACCGGAGACCCCACCGCGGGTGTGCACTGGCTGACAGGTCTGGGGGCGCCCTGAATCCCCGGCCCAACAGCCCCAGTGTGAACCGCCCCCGGAGCCCCCAGGGGGCGGGCAGGGCAGGACCGTCCCCCCGTCACTTACGCTCTTATCCAGCTCGATCTTCACCTTCTTCTGCGAGATGCTCTTCTGGATCCTCTTGCTGAAGCTGGCGTTGCCTGCCGCCCGGCCGCACCGCTCGCCGTCCTCCCGCAGACAGCACAGTTGTCCGGGGCCCGGCCCGGCCGCTCCTGGGGGCCCAGCCGCCGAGACTGCCCCGGCGCCGGGCACCTCAGTTCCTGCACCCGCCCCGGCTCCGTTCCCGGCCGAAGCGGCGGCGGCGGCGGCGGCGGCAGCGACCACCGCGGCCACTGCAGCGGCCGCGTCCCCGCCGCGGCTCATCTCCTCCGGCGTGAAGCCGTTCATGCCTCCGCGATCGGGGGCGCCGGTGCCCGCAGAAATCCCCGCTCCGCCTCGCCGCTCCGCCCGTCTCCGGATACTCCGGGGTCTCGGCGGGGTCGCTTGCACCTGGCCTGGCGGCGGCAACTCACTCTGCACCCCGAGTCCTTTGGCGGCACGGCCGAACCCCGGGCGTCCCCCGCCTGCTGGGGTCTGCGGGCTCCGGGCAGTGGACAGTGCTTAGGTCGGGAACCAGAGTCGGGGGGCGCCAGGAGCTGGAACCCAGGTCCCTGTCACATGGAGACTCTTCAGCAGTTGGACCGCTGCGTCTCCGCCTCCCTCCGGCCCTGGGACCAGCGCAAGCGCAATGAGCCCGCCCCGCCCCGCCCCTTCCATTCTACCTCAAGGCACGAAGGGAACTGTAGTTCTCTTCTGGGCAGTCAACCTAAACTCTGTCCTGATCGCAGGCCGCGCGGGTTGGAGGAACTACTTATCCTAGCATGCATTGCGCCGCAATGGGCCGGGCTTTTTATTATTTTTTTAAACCTCGGGGAAAACAGGGGCGTGTTGTGGGGGTTTGCTACGTTTTCCAGTTTCTAATCCCTGCGGGGAGGTTGGTTGGTTGGTTGGTTGGTTGGTATTTAGCTCCTGGAATTTTGCAGAGTTGGCATTCTACACGACGAGGTCACTCAACTCCGGAAGCGAAGCGCAAAACGAGGGGGGCAGGGGTAGGAGGAGAGTGAGGGTGCTGGAAAAAAAGTTTCGGGGGCGTTATCGTATTTGTGATTAAAAAAAAAAAAAAGAGTTTTTGGTGTGACCACGCTTTTGTGGGAAACCCAAACCAAAAGACAACTCGGGCGAGCTGGCGCTTTGCGGGTCCTGGAGGTCCCGCAGCAAACACCGGGGCTGAATGGCCGTCCCATTCATTGACGCGACTGAAGAACGCCTGCTTAGGGGCGGTCTCCTCACAAATGCCTGGGCAGAAGGCCGTTTCGAAATCTGTTGCATGTTCCTGCAAGGAACGCGTGTTATTCTTGGGCTCACAAAGTCTGCGGCTTCCTGAGGTGGAGCTACTGACTAGTTGACTTTCACAGGCCTTATTTTGGCCGCCACCCCCAATCTTTTTCATTTCCCCTGGAATGAACCTGGAGAGGGCGGAGTCTGATGTTTTTAAAAAGGGAACTGGGAACCCTACCAATACCGAGTTAGTTTGAGTGCTCCTCAGAAAGTTTCTGCAGGGGAGAAAGAAACCGCGTTTCCTGGGGTGTCGCACGCGCGTGTTGGCAGGGTGTGTGTGCGTGCGCGTGTGTGTGTGTGTGTGTGTGTGTGTGCGTGCGTGCGCGCGCGCGCTTGTGGAGAGCCGGGTAGAAGGATGGGAGTGGCAAATATAAAAGCTGCACCGTGGCTAGTTAACTGCATGTCCTAATCAGTAAATATACCTTGTTTAACAATCCCATTGTTCAAAGAAAATACAAACCAATAGGGTTTGGGTGGTGGTGTTTTTGAAAATTCACTTCCTGAGTAAATGTAGTGATCGATGACTTTTTAAAAAATGTAAAATGTCATCTGCCCTGAAATCCAAAGCCATCCATTCTGTGTGCTTCCGTTCTAGGGTATGGCAAAGGAAAGCAAAAGAATTAAAATATTGCATAAATTGAGCTGAAACTGGTTTGGCTCAGTGGATAGAGCGTCGGCCTGCGGACTGAAAGGTCCCAGGTTCGATTCCGGTCAAGGGCATGTTTCTCTCCCATCGATGTTTCTAACTATCTCTCTCCCTTCCTCTCTGTAAAAAGTCAGTAAAATATATTTTAAAAAAATATTACATAAATTGAATAGTCAAAAGAAAGATGGGAGATGGTAAGTGCCTTGTGTTATCTTTGCAATCAGCACTGGGTGTCCACTGGGCATATTGTGGCTATTGAACACTTGAAATATGGTTATTGCAACTGAAAAATGGAACTGTTAATTTAATGTTTTTTTAAATTTTAAAAACTGATTTCAGTTACTGAAAACTTTTAAGTATGTGTAGAACAACCAGAATATATGAGTCTATTTTTTCAACTTAAACTTTATGAAATCTAAATTCAGCATTGGAATTGAGACATGTTGTATCAACTACTAGTGGGATTTCAAAGACTTAGTAGCAGAAATTTAAAACAGAATATTGAGTAGCTCATTAACAATTCTTTATGTTGATTACATGTTGAAATGGTAGTATTTTGGATACACTGGTTTAAATAAAATATTAAAGTAAATTTTACCTGTTTTTAATGTGGCTACTAGAACATTTAAAGCAGGGGTCCTCAAACTTTTTAAACAGGGGGCCAGCCAGTTCACTGTCCCTCAGACCGTTGGAGGGCCGGACTATAGTTTTAAAAAAAAACTATGAACAAACTCCTATGCACACTGCACATATCTTATTTTGAAGTAGAAAAACAAAACGGGAATACAATATTTGTATTTGCATGTGGCCCGCGGGCCGTAGTTTGAGGACCCCTGATTTAAAGCTACACACATGGCTGACATATTTGCATTAGATAAGGCTGGCTTAAAGTATGAAAACACATAATAATACTACCTTGTTTACGGATATATTAGGGGACCAGTGCACGAATTCGTGCACCTTGAAAGGAACTGCAGTGGCACAGGGGTGGGTCCCGACCCATCCTCCACAGCCCCGCCCAGCACTTCCTGCAGTGGCCCATCCTGTCTGGTGGCAGCCCCTGCTCCTGCCACCACTGCTCAGGCGTGGAACGATTGGGGCCGGTGCCAGCAGCAGGTGTGAGCGGAGGCTGCTGCCCCGATCGCCCCTCAGGAGCAGGGGGAGGCCAAAGGATAGTAGAGAGATTCAAATAACTTTATCTGAAAGGTCCTCATCTCACTACTACTTTTTCAGTGACAGAGCCCAACTAAGATTCTTTAGATGTTATAAAATATCAAAGTGAATATTGAAGGGGAAAGCACAGGAAGAGAGCTGTGGGGAACACTGTGATCTTTCCTTAGCCAGAGGGAAATTCAGAATTAAAACTAGTGTGGCCAAACACTTTTAAAAAATGCTTTAATTGATTTTTAGATAGAGAGGAAAGGAGAGGGAGAGAGAGGGATAGAAACATCGACTACAGAGACACTCTATTGGCTGCCTCCTGCATGCCCCCTACTGGGATCGAGCCCACAATCTGGGTGTGTGCCCTGACCCAGAATGGAACCCGGAACCTCTTGGTCCAAGGGACAACACTCAATCCACTGAGCCACACCAGCCAGGCAACACCTACTGTTTGTCTGGGTTTTCTGATGAGTTACTATCTTAAATAATTTACTCCAAAAATAAAATGACTTTGTCTTGGCATTGCTACCCATAAGGAGAAGAATGCTATTTAAAAAGTTATGAATCACTGACTGCATAGAACAGAATACCTATTTAACAATACTATTAGTTTTTCTGACATAATAAGAACACTGAGGGAAGATGGTTCCTTATATTGCTTCTGTAGTTCAACAATGTCAGGGTTGGCATCTATGGTTTTCTTGCTTTTCCCTCATGCCACTCAGGGTAGCATTCTCAGGATTGGTTTGAACCAGCAATAATCTATCAATAACTTACTTCTAATCAAGGTAATTTTTACAGTAAGAAGGAAGGAGAGAATGATTATTGAACAAGCAATGAAAAATTATCTACAATGGTCTAGATTTTTTTTATTGTTGGTACTATTACAGATGTCCATTTCCCCCTCCCATTGCTCCCCTCCACCCAGCCAGCCACCCATCTTCACCCCATTGTTTTCTGTGCCCATGGGTTATGCATATATGTTCTTTGGCTATTCTCTTCCAGTCACCCTTCCCCTCCTCCCCTCTGAGATATGCTTCTGGTCCTATTTTTTTTCATCAGTTTATTTTGTTAGTTAGATTCCACATGTAAGTGAGATCATATGGTATTTGTCTTTCTCTGACTGGTTTATTTCGCTTAGCATCATAATCTCCAGATCCATCCCTGCTGTTGCAAGGGTAAGAGTTCCTTCTATCTTACATTTACACAGTGAAATACTGCAATTGTCTAGATTTAAGAAATATGATAGAAGGAATAGAACAAGACCATGCTACTTAAAATTCCTGAAACAGATAAAAAATTCTTTCAGAAGTTAGCAGAAATGAGTTATGGATTTTAATGAACGTTTAAAAATAATTCCACCTCGCCCTAACTGGTTTGGCTCAGTGGATAGAGCACCGGCCTGCGGACTGAAAGGTCCCAGGTTCGATTCCGGTCAAGGACATGTGCCTTGGCACATCCCTAGTAGGAGGTGTGCAGAAAGCAGCTGATTGATGTTTCTTTCTCATCAATGTTTCTATCTCTCCATCCCTCTCTCTTCCTCTCTGTAAAAAATCAATAAAATATATTTTAAAAAATAATAATTCCACCTTTTTAAACTTAGAAATTCACTCAGTAAATATTTGCGCCAATAACATTAGTATATGATTGTACTAGGTCCTATGAGAGATATGAAACATGATACTCCCTGCCTTCAAGAAACTTCTACATAATAACTCTTTGTATTATACTTTCTACTTTATAAAACTCTTTCACAGGCACGAAATATTTGGAAATCATAACTCTTTACAGAAGAAATTTTTATCTGATAGATAAATAGTAGGCCCTCTAAATCCTTACCTATACCTCTCTGGCTTTTTACCACTTGAAAGTTCTGGGACAGATTTCAGCTGCAGATGTCTGCATCCCTTTGCATTCCAAATGTGGGAGAAAGTCCTACCCAGTATAATTAGGGCAATTTGGAAGTGCTTGAGAATTATCAACCTTCCATCTCAGCATCCCTTATGCAATGTTATACAGAAACCCCAGCTATTTTGCCCCTCACATGGGATAACTTTGAGGCATGTATTTCATACCATTTCCCTGAATTTTCTGGTGGGATTATACTCCAGTCATTACTAGTGGCAGCTGGCTTAGTAAGGCGCCCTTTATTTACTGCCTTCCCTTCTTTGTCTCACTTCCCCACCTCCTACAGGTGTTTCCTGAATCCTCCAGATAAACTACCTGCACTCAAATCCTTGTCTCAGGGTTATAGTGGGCATTTCCACTAGGTTATTTCCACATACCCACCCCTCAGCTATGTGTCAGTTCAATGGGTGGGCACATGATTCAAGCCAAGCCAATTTGAATTCTTCCCAGGCAATTTTGTTCAACCTGAAAAAAGGGAGAAAAGAGAGTCTCCTCTTTTTTTTTTTTTTTTTTTTAATTTCCCCATTATTGTATTTCTAGTAGAACGGTGCCTGGCACAAAGTAGGAATTTGCTAAATATTTGTGGACTATTCAATTAATAC